TCGAAACTACTAGCAGAGCATGTTAGTTAGAAGCCGTTGATGAATTTTGCTGATCGCCAGAATCACAAACCATTATACCCGAATAACAAGTTTTCTGCCCTGTATGAGTCTTGAAACCACGCATCCTCTGAGGAGTAGGACATTTCATGCAATCCCATTGAGTTATCGAATCTTTCCATTAACTCCGGAATTTGGTTTGATTTCTCCAAACATTTCCAATCATTTCCGCTACTGTCGACCTTTAAAATATCCCCACCTTCACAGGTAATTGATGAGTCCACAACAAAGTTGTCATTGAATCCAACAGACGAGATTGGCAAAGTGTTTTCCACGAAGTTCAAAGTTGAGGTTGGAGACTGGAGGTTGTCACTGTTGAAAGTGAATAAACCGGCGACTACACCTTGCCAGGCTTTGAGTACGTCAAGGCATTGCGATCTAGCTGCTGGAACCACAGCATTGTTAGTGAGTTGTGGAGCCGAGGAAGAAGAGGTGCCAGCAAGCTGGTTTTGCGAAGGGTTTGAAACTAGTTTCGACTCTCTGACCAATCTAGCTTCCGCTTCTAACCTAGCACTCTCCCACTGAGCCATGTGGCTAAGGTTAGCGGCATCCTTGGGGTTACCACTGGTGGAGCCGAGGGCATCGGATTTAGGCTTGTGAGTTACGGGATCGATCCCCATCTTGGTCAATCTTTTCTTCAGATGTGTATTCCAGTGGTTCTTGATCTCATTGTCTGTTCTTTTTGGTAAATGAGCAGCTATAGCCGACCACCTATATATTTTTGGCATAAATTTATTCCAATTATAGAGGTCCAATGATCTCATCACAAACTTGCATTAAGCAATCATGATGATTCAAATGATACATCCACAAAGAGAGAACAAAAATGTTTGAATGCTAAAGCAAAAGTAATGCACTTTGGTCGGTTCTGTTTACCTGTTTCCAAGAAGGGCATGGAGTTGAATGATGGTCTGTTCTTCCTGTAAACTGAACTTTCCTCTTTTGATATCAGGTCTTAAGTAGTTAATCCACCTAAGTCTACAACTCTTGCCACATCTTTGAAGTCCTACATATATATATATATGTATAAAGTAAAGCTAAATCAAACTTGACTTGTTACAAAAAATGAGGCTATTTAAGCATGGATTAAAGGGCAGCAAAGTAGGGATGCAAATAATCACCAGCTTTTGCAGGCAAGGCTCGCCAGCTTCCATGGCCATATTCTTCAATGTAAGCCAAGAGTTTTTGATCTTCTTCTGGAGTCCATGGCCCTTTCTTCAACCCCACCTTCTCGCAACATGGAGACCGCCCCATATTCTAGGAAATTGAGCCAAATCAAATCGAGAACTTTTGTTCCTTTGGAACAACACAATGAAAGAGAGAGAGAGAGAGTACGTAGCTGAAAGCAAGGCAAATGTCGGTTGAGATGGTTGAAGTAGAAATATAAGTGCAATATATAGGCGATAGTACTGCAGTAATTATGATTAATACTATAAGATCATTATACCCTTCATTATAAATGATTTTTTTAATTAATTAATAAATTAATTATTGATAATGTGATTTAATATTTACATATTATTTGTTGATCATAATTAAGATTCGCCAACATTCGAATTTTTTAATCAATATATATATGCCTCTTTGAAGCTATAGCAAAATTACAAATGCTACAAAATGTGGTCCTTTGGGAAGCGGGACATCGGAGAAGTGGAAGGAACCAACCCCATAAAAAAAAACATATATATATATATATATATATATATATATATATTCTAATGACCTAAAGGCCTTAAAAAATCCAAAGGGTGAAGGACAGCAGTGTTTAGAAAAATGCAATGACATTTGCAACTATGGCAGTAAGTACATAGATAAATTCGAGCATTATAAAAGAATTTCTTGGTGATTATTCTTTAAATTTTAATATTTATAATTTTTTTTATTTTTACACTGTGGCTAAAAAATGTATGTTTATTTGGAGTGAAAGCCATGGTCCAAACACAAATTAATTCGACTGAACATTTGATTAAAGCTGAGGCTTCACACAGATAAATGCTACGAATTTATTCAAGACACCTATAGATTTTAATCCTATGTAAAAGTTTTTCTGAAAGGCAGCTTTGAGCAATATCTGGTAGAGGAAACAAAACAGGACTCATCACTCACTGCCATGAAAGTCAAAACTGCTGATTTAATTGCAATAATAATGTTAAAAACTATAAACTGTTGAGAATTTGTTATGAACAATAAATAAATTAAGCAAAAGCAACCACACTGAGAGGGAAAGATTTTTCATGAATTATGCATTTAAAGTCAATGATCCGATTCGAACTGGTGAAATAAAATTGTGGATAACAAAATTAAAACTTGGTAAGAAAAAGTGATTAATTTTTAGTTTTGTTGTTGGGTTGAGCCGTGGCCTATATTTATTACTACAATTGTTCTATTAATCAATTAAAGGGTATTGGCCAATGCCGACCTCATCCTACTTACTGTTTTAAATGTAGAAATAAAGAAGCAACATTAATCAAAATCAATGGTGACTGGTGAGGGCAGCCGTGTATGGTTGTGAGGGGTGAATTTTTCCTATGAATCTCTCTTTGACACTGATTCTAGAAATAAATAAATAAATGTCTTGAATTAATTCTTCAATTTGAGTTGACGATTAATTCTTCACGTGCCTATCAATATTTTGTCATTCATTTCTTAATTTTTAAATTAAATAATGGTCATAAAGTTTTTAGGAAGAAGACATACTTAGGTCATTAATTTTTCAGCTTCCCCTTGGGATCGGAGGGAATTCTATATTTAACTTAGCCTCTTTCTCGACACAATCCTTTGCTGTGATTAATATTTAATACTTGGATAGCATCCATATTTACTATTAACATGCATGACCATTGGCAAGTTGGGTTACAACTTAATTATAATAAATTTTTATTGTAAAAACAAGTAGAGACTTGCAATATTATGATTGCAATTTCTTCCAATCTTAATTGCACATATCAAATCCATTTATATGGCTAAATACTTGAATTCAAAATAAAAAAAAATTTCATCCATAAACCCAAATCAAAATTTGAATCACTTATCAATTGCTCCCTTTGGTAAATTCAGTACCATTAGAAACAAATTTAACAATGCATCTTAATAAATAGAGTTGATCAGCTATAAAGTGAATAATAACTCATCATAAAACAATAGAGGGTGTCCTCAAAGGCAGGTTGTGAATTAATCAATAAGAAAGAAATAATGTTGAATACATACATACATACATATATATATATATATATATATATCCAAACCCAATACTTAAAATATTTATGATTTTCCTGTTAACCACCACCATATACTGAGTGGCAACGCGTAAGATTTAATTTTCACTTCATGGCCTTTACTATTGTAAGTAAGATCAGTTATTTGTAGCAACCGTCAACCCCACACAATTGGATGCATAGCCTGCTAAAGTCTTCACTGCTAGCTGGTGCATGATTGGAGCAATCATGAATGTCGAAACACATATTTCATGATGACCATGAGAGTAAGGGTTTTTTACTTGCGCCAAAAGCTATCTAAAGCTTGTTTACATTGTTTACCAACACTGGTTGTGAGGGATTTCTCTCCACTACCAACAAAATGTACTTGGCAATCATGACCTAATTGAATCAACATTTCAGGTAGCTTTTAATATTCAGCTACTTCCTTTAATGTGCCTTCTACTCTGAAATCAATGATTTATAGAATTGATACTTCTGTGTATATTTCAACTGGATTGTTCTACATAAAAAAAAAAAATCTAGTACTATTATAATATATACATAGAGCATATGCAATCATATAATCTTATGATAAAATATTCAACTTTTAATTTTAATGATTAAAACTCAATTCATGGATCCTAACAATTTTAAATACAAAAATATATATATATATATATATATATATATGCTCAAATTCTCACAATGGACTACCGTCACTAAATTATTTTATCCAAAATGGAATTCTATTTATTCTTGTTTTGTATATAAATAGTATACAAATCCAATTCAAATTGATCAAATAATCAGTATTAGCATAATTTGTTCGTACCATATTTTGAGAGAAACAAAAAGTTGTGAGTTATAATTTGTATATAGCTAGCTAATCTATTACAAATGAACACTGTACACATTTTAATTTTGGTATTGAATTAGGTTGAGAAAAATCACTAATTGAGTGAATGTTAATGTGGCTATTGCATGGGATAATTATCTCGGATTACCAATGCTTTGAGAGAGACAAACACTTTGTTTTAAATGTTTGAAGTGGAATAAGGAAATATGCATGGAATACTAGCTTTTGAAGAATTTAGAGGCCCATGCCATACGGCTTTAGAAAAATGGTTTTTATATTTACGCTCTAAATAAATATGATGAATAAGATAATAATTCGAAAAACAAGGATTAATTCCAATTAAGATTAAAAGTTAGAAAGCCTATTTTTGATAATTTTTGTTGTATAAAAATTTGAAGAAAAACAGGTTTGCAAATTAATTATTAACCCTATTTTAGTGCAAACTTATATTTCGTGGACGTTGTTCATTAATGTTCAATTAAAAGACCAATAAAACATAGATGATTATGAGTGTCAAAGTTGATGTTTTGAGATTTTAAGATACATTCTGACTCTCAAATCAATATTTCATAACAAATTAAAATAAATGAAAAAGTAAAATTAATAAAGAGAAAATACCTCAACTTCTATAGAGACCAGCTTACCTTTAAATATGAGGAACATAGGATACCAAAATTACCCTAATATCTTTAGGATAATTTATCTGTAATTTTTTAATTCTAGCCTTAAAGAGGACAGGGAATTTTTTTTTAATTCTTTTTTAAAAAAGAAATAAATGGAAATTGATCTAATTTGTCTAGGATAGTTTTGATTAAAGAACCTTACTTTTTTTTGGTTTGCAAAAGATCAATACAACAGCAAAAACATTTACTAATGTTAAAACATTATTATCAGAAGACAGGCGAACCATACGGAGAAGAATTCACCAAGTTGAGTACACTATCCCAGCAGTTACTATTCTCCACTATGTTGCCACTTTCATTCGATTTCTCAACAGCCGTTAAGGGATCAGAATTAAAAATTAAAGCATCTGACAAACCCTCCATTATATTTGCAATAGCTACATTTTCATTTCCTACATCAAACACTGAGTCCTCAAACCATGCATCATTGCTGAAGCCCGTCCTTCCATTGCTGTGTAATTCCATTGCTGTTTCTCCCCATCCAGCTGAAGTACTCTTATCAAATCCCATTTCACCATCTGTAGATCCAGTGGCAGTGAGTCCAATGATAGGGGCTCGAACTGTTCCGTCTGGGAAGCTAGGAGTTGAGGTAAGGGACCCAAGATCCTGGCTGGAGAAGGCAAACATGCCAGCAATTACACCTTGCCATGCTTTGAGTACGTCAAGGCACATCGGTCTGCCTGGTGTAGCCGTAGAATTGTTGCTCAGCCGCGTCAAAAGGAGGCGGGTAAGCTGGTTCTTTGGTTGGATAGGCTTTGGCACAACCTGTTTTGACTCACGGACCAACCTGGCTTCAGCCTCGAGCCGAGCACTCTCCCGCTGAGCCATGTGACTCAAATTTGAAGCATATTTGCCTGAACCAGATGGGAAACTTGAGGCATCTGTTCGAGGTTTATGAGTTATAGGATCAACACCTATTTTGATTAGCCTTTTCTTTAGATGTGTGTTCCAATGATTCTTGATCTCATTGTCTGTTCTCTTTGGCAGGTGAGCTGCCATTACCGACCACCTAAATAAATTGACACAAGCAAAAGGCGACAAAAATATGATCTATAAAGCAGTAGTAACGATGACTATATAAACCGAAGATAGAAACGTAGCTAAAAAATGCTGAAGATAGAGATTGGTGAAATGAACGTCATGATATTGAATATTATTATAAACTGTACCTATTTCCGAGAAGGGCACGGAGTTGAATGATGGTCTGCTCTTCCTGTAAACTAAACTTTCCTCTTTTGATATCACGTCTTAGATAGTTAATCCACCTCAGTCGACAGCTCTTTCCACATCGTTGAAGTCCTACATATATATAAAACCAAAAACAAGGATTTTTTTCAGTCAATTTCGTTGATATTGCTACTACAAAAGAAGACATATAATAATAAATCACCAGCTTTCTCAGGCAAGGCAGGCCAGCTACCATGGCCATGTTGTTGAATGTAAGCCGTCAGTAGTTTGTCTTCTTCAGCTGTCCATGGTCCTCTCTTCAAAACCACATCTTTCTTGCAATTTGGAGACCGCCGCATTTTGCACAAAAACGAACCGGCGAATTTGGGCTTAGAAAAAAGGTTATCTGTAAATCATTAAAAGAGATAACATAGAGATTTGATAGGGAAAAAAACACAATACCAAAAGAGAACAATCGTTGAGAGTGAAGACTGATGGGTAACATTGAAAGCTTTGGTGGCAAATATATATAAATTAATAAACTCATTGTAGACGTTCCAATTTGTCTTGGGGTCTACAAGATCAATTCTGATAATTAAAAAATTAAAAAAATAATAAAAATGAAAAAAACAAAAAAGGTGTTTGAGTTTCATAAAACTGAGCTAGTAGAGTTTGGATTGGATTCAAAGATTAAATCACAATCATAAGAAGGAATTGAGATTGATAAAAACTCCTCTGATCAATCCTTATAAATAAACGTTGGAACACATAGGAAGCACATAGAGAACAGAAAAAAGAGAAATGCAGAAACATAGAGAAAAATTAGAAGCAGAAAAGAGAATAGATAGATAAGAAACATGGCAAGCAGAAGGAAAATTTTTTTTAAAGTTTTGTTAAAGAGAAGAAAAATTTTTTTGAAAAATTTTCAGATTCCAATAAAATTTTTCTCGAAATTTTTCGACGCTGGTTGAATTTTTTGACGAGTTTTTCGATGCCAATTGAACTTTCTGGCAGACTTCTCATATTCTGGTTAACTTTCTAGTTTTCGGCAGCTACTTTCCAGAAACCAACGAGCTTTCCGACGAACAACTTAGATTTCGGTAAAAATTTTTAGAATCCGATTAAATTCAACCAGTGTTCTTGGGTGGATAGAGAGAGAGAGAGAGAGGGAGCAGAGGAATTCTGGCAAAATAGGCTAAAACTCAGGCTTTTATAGCCTCCACAAAATGACGTCGTTTTGGGCGTTAATAAACCTAAGATCCACGCGTTTTGCCAAGATCTGATCCAACTTGAGCGTCAACCTGAGTTCGTTGACTTGCACCCCTGCCTTTGGTTCAGTCGAGTCGAGTCGCATATCCAGCCATCCAGCCGCTTCTATCTCTCAAGCTAGCCGAATCCAAGCTGAGTCGAGCCGTTCCAAGGTTTTTTTATATTAATTATTATTATTATTATTATTGTTATTATTATTTCTAAATTAGAATTTTTTGGTATTCTTAATTTTTTATTTAATTTAATTTTTAATTTAATTTTTTTTTAATGATTTTCCTAAAATAAAATTTCAAAAAAATAATATTTTTGAAGAAAAGTTGAAAGGATCAATTTTTCTTGAAAATAAAATTTTAAAAAAATATTTTTTGAAGGAAAGTTGAATGTATCAATTTTTTTTAATAAAAAAATAAGTTTTGAGGGGAAAGTTGAAAGTATCAATTTCCTTTGAAAATAAAAAGGTTAAAAAAATATTTTTTTAAGGAAAAATTAAAACTATCAATTTTTCTTAAAAATAAAATTTATAAAATAAAAATTTCTAAATGTATTTTAGGGGAAAGTTGAAAGTATCAATTTTTCATGAAAATAAAAAGGTTTTAAAAATATATTTTTAGGGAAAAGTTGAAAGTATTAATTTTCCTTGAAAATAAAATTTCTAAAATAAAAATTATCAAGAAAAGTATTTTGAGGAAAATTGAAAGGTATCAAATTTCCTTGAAATTAAAATTTTAGAAAAAAAAATTTAAGGAAAAGTTAAAAGTATCTGTCATAACGTCTAGATATGGAGAGTCGCCACCAATATTTTTTGTTTAGGTACAATTGGCTACTTAGGGAATCTATCATTTCAAGGTAAACCTAAGCTTGACTAAGGGTCCCTAAAAGAATAGGTTTCGGTTTATTAACTAGAATAAGGTTCGAAAGTTCAGTTACGAGTGAGGGATGTTACAGCACCCTCACAACGCCCATCAAAAAATGGTAGTAGCTTAATTTCGTGTTATCCAATAAGCTTTTAAAATTTTATCAAGTAATTAATTATTAAAAATTATTATTAATTAACTCTAATACTTTTGACAGAAAATTAAGAAAAATTCTCTCACCTCAAGAGTATGCAAAAAAACTATTGTTTTACTTACAGAAGCTTCATCGTCGGATTATTTAATATTAAAAATTTTCAAGAAAAAAAAAAAAAATAAAAAAATGAGGAATAATTATTCAACTTTTGATGCAAATCCTTTTCTTTTTATTTTTTTTTAAAAACTCATTGTTTTTGTACAAGAAAATTGATACTTTCAACTTTTTCTTAAAACAGTTGAAAATTTTTATTTAAAAATTTTCATTTTTAAGGAAAATTGATATTTTGACTTCCCCCCAAAATGTTTTTTGAAAATTTTATTTTAGAAACTTTTTTTTAAGAAAATTGATATTTTTAATTTTTCCCAAAAATATTTTTTAACTTTTTTATTTTCAGGAAAATTGATACTTTTAACTTTTCCTTAATTTTTTTTTGGAATTTTTTATTTTAGGAAAATCATTAAAAAAAATAAAAAAATTAAAATAAAATACCAAATAATTCTAATAATAATTCTACTAATAATAATAATAATAATAATATAAATAATAAATAAATGAAGAAAGAAAAAAAAAAACCTTAATGTGGCTCAGCTCAACGGCTGGAATCGGCTTGACTCCAGGAAGAAAAATGGCTCGAAGGTGTAGCTCGACGGGAAGCGCTTCGGCTCGGCTCAGGTCTAGGGGGTCGGCTGGCACTCGGGTCAAAATAGGTTGACGCTCAGGTCGGGTCAAACCAAACAGAAACGCGCGAATCCTTTAGGTTTACTAATGCCAAAACGACGTCGTTTTAGCATGGTATATAAGGCTAAAAACTCAACCTTTTCAGTAGATGCGTCTTTCTTCTTTTCTCTCTAAAAAATATCATATTTCGGTTGAATGTTTTATGAAATTTATAAAAACACGTCAAAAACTTCAAAGTTGGCCAAAAAATTCGTCAAAAAATTTAAATACCATTGGAAAATTCATTGGAATCTGGAAAATTTTCAAAAATTTTCCAAAAAAAAATACCAAAATTTTTAAAAATTTTCCTAAAAATTCTAAAGCTGTCTTCGAACCTTTTTTGCTTCTGTTTTCTCTTCGTTTTCTTTCTTTGTGTCTTTTCTATGTATTCCAGCATCTATTTATAGGGATTAATCAGAAGAGTTTCTAATCAATTTTAATTCCATCTAGGATTTGGATTCAATATTTGAATCCAATCCAGACTCTTGCAGTGCCCAAATTCATGGCAGCATTTATTCCAATTTTTTCTTATTATAATCTTCTAATCCCAACCAAAAATTGATCAAGAAAAAGATGATGTCAAAAATAAATAATAAAAATAATAAATAAATAATAAAATATATTAATAGATAAATAATAAATATATATAGATAAAAAATATTAATAGATAAATAAAAAAATAAAAATAAAATAGGCCCATCTTGCCCCATTTGAACCAAGCCCGATTGCTTCGGGCCTGAATTAAATTGGGTGTCTACAACTATCCCTCTTTGCACATTTTCTATGAAATAGGAATTGTGCAAAGACGTAGACACCCATTCAAGACTCAACTTGACACTTTTTGTTGTGTTTTTTTTTTTATTAAAAACTTGATCAAAACTCCTCTAATGAGAGGCTCAACAACTTTTAAAAAATAAACAAGGCTCCTCTAAACATGGGTTTAATGACTTTGAAAAAATAAATAAGGCTCCTCTAAACAAAGGCTCGATGATTTGAAAAAATAAACAAAACTCATCTAAGTAGAAGCTCAATGACTTTTGAAAAGTAAATTGCTCCTCTAAATAGAAGTACCACAACTTTTGAAAGTAAATTGCTCCTCTAAACAGAGGCACCACAACTTTTAAAAATAAATTGCTCATCTAAACAGCGGCACTACAACTTTTGAAAATAAATTGCTCTTCTAAACAAAGGCACCACAATTTTTGAAAATAAATTGTTTTTCCAAAGAGAGGCACCATAACTTTTGAAAATAAATTACTTTTTGACAATCATGATTGAACGAGTCATAGATCATGTCTGATGGAATTTGTAATGAAACTCAAAGTTTCACAATTTGAGTCCAAATTCAAAGGCTCAAATTCGCAAGAACCTTTCAACTTCGTGGGATTCACTGAAACTCAATTATCAAAATTTCAATTTCACAAGAATTCAATTTTTACAAGATCTTAAGCTTTGCATTCGTAAATTATAAGACTCATATCCATATTCAAAGAGTCTCATTTAAATTTTGGAGATTCACATCCAAAAGTTTAAATCTTTTCATTCGAGTTCAAAGGCTCACATGCCATAAAACTTAGAGTTTCACATATAAGTTCAAAGGTTCTCACTCAAAATTTTAGAGATTCATATCCAAAAGTTCAAAGCTTTTCATTCGGGTTTGAAGATTTACATTCAATAAACTTTAGGGTTTCACACCTCAAAGATTCTCCATTGAAATTCACAGATTTTCATTAAAAAGTTCACAATTTCTTTCTAGGTGACCCAAAACTTTGTATGAATGAATGTCATGATGAAAGATGTAAATACTTTCTTAATGACGTAAATGCAACCACCTAGATCCTCATAATGTCATGCATGTCCAAACAGAGTATTAACTTATCAGATTATGTGCATGTATTATTCAAACAATGATGCCAATGCGATGCATGGAATACAGATATTAATAATGTCATGAGATCTTGTGGTACTCAAGTTTCTCAAGTCTCTTTTTCTTGGGCCCCAAATCTCCTTCAACCTTTGAGTGCTATGGCTAAATCAATGTAAGTCTAGATCATTTCTCCTATTTAATTCTCATTTTCTCATTTTTGAGAAATTCAATATACGTGTTAGGAACTGAACATCTCAAATTTGCCCTTATCACTCTCGACATTTCCAATGTAATGTAAAAATCTTTCATGTTATTATTCATTTATCAATCATTTTTTCAATCTTAAAAAGTAAGAATGTATTCACATATTTTTTCCATTGTAAAGTATTAAGGAGAAAAGAATAAGAATGATTAGGAAATAATCAATAGAAGAGA